AAATTCATTTCAGGCAGGTTTAGAGTCCTGCTTCTCAATTTGGAATTTCACTTTGCAAAATTTGATCTTTGTGAGTTCTTCTATCACTGAAAATCAACAAATGCCCATAACTACAAAACAAAATATTGTTTGGCGGACTTGTATGAAATGTACAACATAGTTCCTTCTTTGTTTCTCATGGATTGAATAGAAAACAGTAAGGTTTTCTGTCTAACTTTCAAATTTGCCCAAGATGTCAATATGTAGTTGATTATTTTGTTGTTGTTGAGCTTCATGCTTCTTACATGTTCCCATTGTTATTCTGTCTATGCACCTTTGGCTTTCCTTTTTCTGCATTGAAACATCAACAATTTGATGTCTGGAAGGCTTTAATCTGTGTCATACACATACTCTGAAAAATCCTCAAGTTTTCTTCAGTAGCATGTTGAGTGCCATCTAACCTGAGGGGCCTATTATCCAGCACAACATTGACAATCTTTTCATTTTTGTGACTTTCTTAGTAAAGTATGAGTGGTTGTCTTCTCTCAGTATGAAATTATGCCTTTGCCATTGTCATTGAAGTGATCATAGCCTGCATCACCTTCCTATATTAATGCTGCCCAATATGGGTACCTGCTTACCTTAGCAGAACAACTTGGGTGATCTTTGTGCTTTGGATGCCCCTGATAGAAGTTCCCTTTGGGTATATACTTCTGGCCTGCTTCATTCAATGTCCAAAGAACACATATCAAACACACAACCTGGCCACGTTGAGGTACCATAGCATAGTTGCAGTACACACATTTTGCACTGGGTGGATGTAGAAATAAGAAAATAATTCCAAGAATTAATTTTCTTTAAAAAATTCTGGGTCTCCCTCAAGGTACTTTTGCTACTGATTTAAGAATAGACAAAGAGAAGGATTTAACTAGAATAAATTAACAAAATCTTATTCATATTACTGGAAAAGAAACAAATTCAAAAATATACTGAGGCATACATTTCTTCTCTTGCTAGGCACAGGAAAAAACCTCTATGCCTTCCTTGAGCGGTATGATAACTGACATAGCTAGTTTGGTACAATATATGAAATGTTTAAATGTTGTTATCATTTTAGAAAAAGCAGATTAATTTTACAGTACTTATTCACTCCTCTGTGCTCTATTAAAGCATGACATTTATTAACATATTTAACTTTATTGTGGTCATTAACCAGTGCAGTAATTTAACTGTACAAGCCATGCTTTTTGCATATTTCAAAGGTAAGCTTCATAGAAGAGTTGCTTTCAGCCTGCAGTTAAAGATAGTAAATATTACAAACCACATTATGAGATTTATGACACAATAAATGCTGGGCTTGGATATTGATACATTTGCAGGTTCTGAAACTGAATGCATTAAAAGATTTGCTAATGGGTGTGATTTGTTATATTGGTTATCATGGCCATTTTTGCTTTATTGTATTGTAAATTTAGAGGATCAGACAAACCACGTTTTTGAATATATACTGTTAGACTAAGTCTTACTGTAGTTATAAAGTTTAATGGCACAATGTTTATTATAAATACTAAACTATATTTGTAATCATAAATTTGCATTTTTCTGTTATTCATTCTGTACTGTATTTTAAACTTCATTATTATTCTTTGATAAAGTGTGTTATAATCTGATACTGCAACTAAAAATCAGTTTTGATTTTGATAGACAGCATTACAAATTAGATTGCCTACTTTAAAATATAAGTTAGCCTTATTGTATTACAAGTCTCTCTTTCTCAATCTGCTGAGTAAGCTAAGAATGTGTGTCTGTGTATGTACCATGTGTATGTGTGTATGTATATGTATATGTATGTGTGTATACACACACACACACTTATCACTAGCATTTTTATTTATATCCCATACTTTGCTACCTTTTGCAAAATACTGAAAAATTGAATATGTATTTTTGATTCCCAGAACATTTTTGTGTAAGTTTTGTCTAATTAAAAACTGGATTATATAGCTACAGTATATTGCCCCAGATGTTCCTTTTGAAGATGTTAATTATTACTTATTATGAACAAGCCTTTCATTAATAAGCATGTTCCAAAAACATGAGTGCTTTCTTTATTTCTCGCATACTTATATATATATTCTGAATATATAGAGGGAGGAAGCATGTGATGCATATATTTTACTATGAACAAATACTATACAACATTTGTTGGCTGGCTGTGCATGATACAAACATATATCTCATTTTGCTTGGTATTCTAGATTGTTTGTACTATTATAGGTTTTATACATTGTTTTCAAATATTTCAAAAGTTCCTTTTGACTTATGTATTTAATTTAGGATTCATTTCATACACTGAAGAAATGGGTAAAAGAATTAAAAGAACATGGTCCTGAAAACATTGTAATGGCTATTGCTGGAAACAAGTGTGACCTTTCGGATATTAGGTATATATTCTGATATATTTACTTTTTGCAGTTTTCCATTGCTTTTTCTACAGTATGACAAATACAGAAATACCGTTTTTATAATATTTTTAAAATTAAAAACTAAACCAATGCAAATAATAACAAATGTTATTTATTGAAATGTATTTAATCTAAGAAATAAACATCTACAGTTTCAAAATAATAGTAGTAGTATACTACTGAAATTTAAACATTTTTTTTTACTGTTCTGGCCTTGTCTACTTTTTTGTCCAAATTGTTTTATTTATTCACAACTCAATTCTCAAAACTGGGATGCCTTTAAAAAAATATTTGGGCATGATCTCACTGTGGTGCCCTGCCTTCCTTTATACCAATGTTTTTCAAACTTGATATCTTTAAGATGTGTGGAGTTTAAACTGCTAGAATTCCCCAACTAGCATGCTGGCTTGAAAATATTGAGAGCTGAAGTCCATGCACCTTAAAGTTGCCAAATTTGAAAAACATAGCTCTATACTATTAGAATTCTGTTGTTGGATATTTTCATTTAATCCTATAACAATGCCTTTATGTTGCCCATGTACCGCATCCTTACCTACCATCCCTTTCACACTGTTAGGAAGGGTAACAATTCATTTTCTGTTATTTGTCTCCAAACCTTGTTCACGGCCTTCATAGTTTTCCTCAGCATTGCGTAGAAACAAACTTGAGCTTTTCCTCAAGTTCTTTTAACTACTCCAGTAAAAACTCAGATCTGCACCTCCACTACGTGTAACTTGAATTATCTCCTGGGAGGGGAACCAACATTTCACATATCTTCTGTATCACTACAGACTGTCAGTTCTGTCCATGGTCCTTGGAGGCTCCTTGCATATTCCCTCTGTCGGGCTCCCATGCAAAATTCCCTTGTTTATCTCCCTGTTTGTTTGCTTTGGTCACAATACACAGAAACTCTAGCCTGGATGTGGTCCCTATTTGTGATTATATAGATGACTACAATTTTTTTTTTATATTTGTTAACTTTCTTCTGGGGGAACCACTTCTCTAATCACTGAGACAGATTTGTTATTGTATATAAACTTTATATTGGAACAAACTTCTAGTTTGTTTTTAATAACATATCTCTTTTATTGGAACATTTTAAATCTATTGCTAATGATAGATTATACAAAAATCCAGTGAACTCAACTTCTTTTAAATGAATTATTTTCTGCATAAGACAAAGTTTTAGTAGTTGATTAACATATATACTGTAGAACAACTAGTCCTGTTACTTATTAATTAATTATCTAATTCCTTAACATATGGGACTCTGGGTAGTCACAACAATTAAAAAACATGTATGTACTGTATATATAAAATAATCATGTGCTTGTACTAAAACCACTATTAAAAATTCAAATGCAAAACACAGTAAGAAGGTATATATAATCAATAATCCAATTCATTATAACCACTGGAAAGGGTTTCCCACTTTTCAATCAGTTACATATAGCTTTCCACACATTTTGAAAAGCAAGAGTAAATTTTAGGATAATTGGTGGACAATCCCTTAAATAAACCCAACTAAAAATTAAAGCAGAAAATATTTTGTGTTAAAACATAAATTATATTATCAGAATTTATTGTGTGGATCCAGGCTTCAGGAATACACATTTCCATATTTGTAATACATTTTATTTCATTTATAAATTATTGGTCAAAATGACAATATAAATTTCCTCTAATTTTATACTCACACCAACAAACCTCTGTTGGAATAAGAGCAAGGGGCTAGCCCAGCGTTCCTAGCTGAGCTGTGTAGTAGAATGAGGGCTAAACATTGGTTTCTCTGCTTCTAGTCCCACACCTTAACCACAACAACTGTATGAAGTCCTTTACTTCATAGTTGATTAGGATTTGACTTATATCTTATCTTAGTCAATATATTTAGAGGAACATTTAGAAATAATAATGAAAAGGAATAAAAAGTCTTATAGCATATTCTCAGGCATTTGCTTTATCAAATTAAGAGTGGCAGGCCATGATATTTGGTTACAAACTGTAATCAAATGGTAGGAACAAAACCATATAGTTACAATTCCGTGTTGTTGTTTTTTATGGAACCACATGATTTCCTGGCATTTGATGTTCAGGCACAGTGAAACCCTTTGTGTATTCATAAGTCATTAACATTTTTATTGCTTTTAAGTTCTTCAAAATTATGTCTATTAATCTAAGCCTAAAACAATAATATTAAATTCTAAGGCTTTAAATAATCTTATTTTTGATGTTTGGGCAAAAGATCCTTTTTTCATGTTTTGATTAGCTTGACTATATTTAGACTTGTTGTAAAAAGAAGAGGAAGAGTAGGAAAGACTTCTAACCAAACTTGAAAATGCAAAACCAGAAGCAGTAACTTTTATGAAACTACATACTATAAGCTACAAAATACTTCAGTGTTAACTTAACTTAATATAAACATTAATCTAGATCAATTTCAATTTAGTGTTAGCTCCATGTAGGGTAGATGGTTTCTTTCATTATCCTGGTTCTCATAATACTGGAAGAGGTTAAAGCATTTGAGAGATAAAAGTTCAGAAAATATTTTTAGTGGGAGAGTATAAAAGGGAAAGATTATTGTAGTTTATTTTGATGGTGGAGATGTTTAAAGTAGTATCAAAATGAGGAGTATACAAAGCTAAAACTTTTTTTAAAAACTATGTAATTATGTATCTATATAATATAGATGGAATGTTATTAGAGTTGAGACATCAGTAGTATGGCAAATAATGTTTTGCTCCAGATTCAGATAAATCAAGGTAAGTTATTATTTTTATCAAGATTATTAATTTTAAATTTATAAAAAACAAAAAACATTTTTTTTTAAAAAAAAATAAGGCTTGTTGAATTGTACACACTTTTTCACTAGTTTGTTTACTGAACCAAGTACCAGTTGCATTCTTGTAGAAAATACAAAGGAAATTGAAAAAATGTGATCTATAGAATATCAGTGTGGTAGGTTCGACTTAAAAGAACTCAATAAAAAAGAAAAAGGAAAGTGTGAAACATAATCAAATATTAAACTTCCAATAGTTTATGATTTATATGAAACATGGGAAATTCTTAATCTCTCAAAATAAAATATTAAATTTTATTTAAATGAATATCAAGATGGATTTTATACATGGGTCATTCTAGAACAGCATTTGCTGGCTTTGAAAGGTTTCTGTAAGGAATATTTTTACATATTCCTGTTTACAAAAATGCATTAGCATACAACACATAAATTATCTGATTTCTTTAACACAGAGATCTATAAAACACTGCATATGGAAAATATTTGTAAAAAATTTAAACCTGAATTGAGTTATTTCAAAACTGAGCAAAGAAAAATAATTGAAAATAAAAGACCTTTTATTCAGTGATCAATTAATTATGTATAAGTAGGTTTCAATTTTCCTTTAAAATGTTCATTAATTTATTAACTGAACTCTTACTGAGTTTTTTAATACATCTTAAAGAATGTATTGTTATTCTGATATAAGCCACTTATGGAACAAATGTGTAATAAATAGGCCCAACGCCTGGGACGTCTGGAAGTTACAGTCATAATTTCTTTAGAAAGAAAGGTACACAAATCCTAATGCTGTCGGAAAACACTCATGGATTTTGTGCTATATGGCACTGTACAACAAAAGAATTTTGTTTATACAGCCTCTTTCCATTTTCTGCAGATTTCAGGAGAACAAGAATTAATTATGTTTCTCATATGAGAAACATGAAATGAGAATCTACTGTGCTCAAATTATAAAGAATAATATAGTTGAATCAAACATTCTGTTGCACAACTTAATTTGAATTTCTAAAACTTCATTTTAGGGAGGTACCTATGAAAGATGCCAAAGAATATGCAGAATCTATAGGTGCAATTGTTGTTGAGACTAGTGCCAAAAATGCAATTAACATTGAAGAACTCTTTCAAGCAATCAGTAAGTAAACTTAAAACTTATTTTTGCATATTTAAGCTTGTACAACTTAAAGTTTTGTCATTTAGGTCACTGTTTTGCTGAAGCCCTAGTTTATTTCTCATGAAAGGACAACAATGAAAGAGATAATTGTTTCACAGAGAATCATATAGTTATACTTCTAGATAGGTATTATTCAAACTAATTCACATCATACTAATTCAGAATGAAGTATTTTTCTTATGTTATAAATTCAGGAGTTAATATTTTAAAGATTTATAACATAAGAAAAATAATTTATATGATAAAAAGTACATAGGATAAACCAGTCTTTGCTTGGTGTTGTACAACTGAAGGTCTGGAGAAAGATCTAAGGAATATCTAATCCTACTTCATTGTTTAGGCAAGATTCATTGAGTCATAAATGACATACTTTGATTTCCTCTTAAGTCTTCATAAAGGATTTTTCAAAATCCTGTTCTATTATGCCAGTTAGTCTTCCAGATAAGAAAAACTGTTGCTGTTTTATATAGTGCAAATGCTTGACTAAATAAAAATATCAATATTACATTTTTACTCTTCTGCTGAGATGAGATAATTCAATATGTATGATCAGCTTTATAGCAGTAATAATTAATGACATTGACATTGTGTGTCTGTCTACATTTTTTAAGTTGAAATATGTGGTCATATTTTACTATGCTAAATCATTTTCTATCTTTCATTTCCTTACAGGCTAGACTACATTTTGCAGAGACAAATTTGGCACAATAGGCTTTGATAGAGTGTTCCTCAATATTCAATTAAAATTGTTTCCCAAGCAGTAGTAATATAAAGATACAATAATTTAATTATCCGGGAATAATTTTTTTCCCAATCTTTGATAGGTAGGATACAAGGTTAAAAGGACACTCTTACTTATTGTTCCAATATTCTGAAGGAAGTTTTATGAAAATTTAAGGTAAAAGTTCCATTAATTGGACAGATCCAAGCAGTGGCATGACTGAGACATTAGGTCCCAGACAGGCAATGGAATCAATGATCAGAGACCCCTCTAGATTTTTACACTATTATATGGTACACATGATAATTTAATAATAAGCAAAAATGTAGTACATTTCCTAGGAACTAGGAGCAATGAAATCTATAAGGCATCTGAATTAGGTACATCTACCAAGAAAGTCCATCAAAAGTGCTACAATAGTTTAAAACAATAATGCTGCAAAATCAAAGGAAGAAACATAATTCAGAACACACATGATTATGTGGATTGCCTGTCAAAAACACCTTAAAACAATTGTTACTTTTCCCAGGCTTTGCAAGCCATTGTACCATTCTGTGTTTGCTTTAGGATGTTTTTGACCGGTCCTATAAATCACATTCCAAATTACATTTTTGTCTTTGAGTCCTAGTGCTCTATCACCATATAGCAGTGGATGAAAGTCATTATGAATCTCTGATGAAGTCATTTTTTCTACTCTAGGGAACTGGAAGTTACTTGAATAATAGAATATAATTACACCTGTTTATTAACAACAGTGATTCATGAAAATTGACCTTCTATAGGAAATGCAGTCTGAGAAAAGAGTGCACTCTTGCTGAATTCCCACAATTTAAACATGGTGTCCTTGGCTAAACACTGGAAAAGTACACTTTTCCTCCGTTTCTTGTTTCCATGTATTTCAGAAAAGATTTTAGACAACATTTAAAAAAAAATCCTTAGAAAACCTTAGATTTCTTAGAAATCCTTAGATTTTGTGTGAATTTTTATCTTAAAATAATTCAGTCACAATAGCTAACTTGCATTTATATAATCAGATGGCCATCATTAAATTGTGTTATTTTAGAATAAATGTTCTCATTAGTTTAAAATATTCTGTATCTTTATTCTTTTGCGCAAGGGACAGCCCATGTGAAATATTTCACGTGCAGTAATTTTACAAAGTTATATGTTTTCTAATTTTGTGAAGCCTTATATTGCTTTCAGGACTCAACTTCAGTTTTCTAGGTATATGTTATGTCATTTATAACAACGTCAGAGTTTCCACCCATCCAGTCTGATCCAACAGACTGGGTATGCTGCAAATCCTGTCAGCCAGAGTATTGATTGGTGGAAACAATGAGACGGACTTTTTCTGCTTTAGCCCCTGCCTTATGGAATATTCTCCCCTCAGAGACTAGACTGGCCCCAAACTTGTTGGCTTTTCACAAAGCTTAAAAAACCTGGCTGTGTACCTTGGCCTGGGGCTCGGAATGTGTTAAGGGCTGTGTTACTTGGCTTTACTATTAGTTCATTAATCATCATGGTTGTTGTTTATACTTACTTATTTTGTGGATGTTTTTATTCTATTTTTTTTAAATTATTTAAATTGTTTTATAATTTTAAAATTGTAAGCTCCCCAGAGCCATTTTATTGAGTTGGGAAGCTATAGAAATTGAATGAATGAATGAATGAATGAATGAATAAAATAATTTGAGAAGAAAGAAACTCTCAAAAGCTAAGTATAAAGTAAATAAAGGAGTAAAAAACCAGGAAAAATGTAGGCAAGAGTATCATTTAAATGAACACATGTGAAATTCTACAAAATTCCAAGTCTTTAAAATGGTAGAGATTTTCATTCTTTTAGTTTGTGAATGTACAATTTCCTTGGTCTTTTCTGCAGTAACCATTGTTTTGTTGATTATTATCTTTCCTTGTAAAAATATTTTAAAGACTATTAGTAAAGACTATATAAAATTTATATTTTTATGAAGTACTGTAGATCCTATAAAAATCTTGAAGTTCTATATTTACTTGCAATACCTGTGGTGTGAAATTTATCAGAATTCTCAATCTGGATTTTTTTTTTTTTCATGTGAATGTTAATCACTGAAAAGTTCTGTTTTACTTCGTATGCTACAGGTTTTTTTTTCTGAATTCAGACTTTCTAAAAGACTGTAAATCATGACAAAGAACTTTTGAAGAAATAAGTAACTTCATATACCTCTCCTGCCTATTACCTTCTTTGCTAAGTTACTGGGGGAGGGGGGGTAAAATAAAATGAGCTTTTAACAGTTGTTGAAATACTTCCAATTAAACTTTGGAGATTGAGTGGGTATCCTACCTATCTCTATTTAAGTTTGGACCTATTTACCACCACAGATTAATAATTAAAACAATGAAGCTGGATTTAAAAATAAGAAAGACAAAAGAAAATTTATGTTGACCAGTTAAGCAGTAAAACAAGCAATAGAATAATCAAAAGATGAGGGAATAGGTCCCCAAACAAGCAAAGCACCTGAGCTTAACTTCAATCCATTTCCATTACCAACTGGAAGTTAATTTTTTAGTATAAAGATTTAAAAAGCAAAATAAAGTCTCTGAAAGTATCCTGCAATTGATTAGGGTCATAATAAAGAATATAGGATTCACCTTCCATATCATATAGGAAATCTGATATTGTAGCTAAAAAACCCTATTTTCAAGCATTGAGAGAAGCCATAAGGTTTTAACCATTGTATATGTTTTTTGTTTTGCTTTTAAACATTTCTAGGCCGGCAGATTCCACCTTTAGAAACTCATGAAAATGGCAACAGTGGAACAATCAAACTCAGGAAGCAGACTGCTCAGACAACACGAAGATGCTGTTAAACAACCAGAACTGGTTTGATGCACTTGAAAATAAAACAAGATCATTTATTTATTGAACCACAGACTTCAGAAAGCCAACGACATGGTACACTCTCTAAAAACAGTAGTATCACTATTCTTTGTTGAGGGGATTAGTGAGAGAAAAATGTCCTTCCACTGAATTCTGCAGAATTATGTAAACCATTTAAGCAGTAAACTGGTTGAAACAGTGACTCAGATTATTTGGAATAATCTGTTTAAACTGTTGACTATTTTAAAGAAGCAATACCTATGTTTTTTACAAATCTTTTTTGTATTTTGAGTATGTTTCTCATGTATATTTTTACAGAATTATAATGCATAGTACTTTAATCAAATGAAGGAAGAACATTTTATTTTACTGGGTTTGGCTTCTATGACCTTTTAGAATTATTTTTAAAGGTATAAATGAGGTACTTCTGCATCCAATACAGATAAAATTAGTGACAATAACAATTCTAGTAAATGTTAAACTGTTGCTTCTGCATTTGAAAAGCAAAATCATTGAAATGCAAATACTTTAAGTTAGCAGAGGCTTTGGATATACTAAATACTGCAAAAGTTAAATGCTAGCAGACATTTCACCAAAAGCCAAAAAAGACCAGGATACACTTTCTATTGAATTCATTTAAATTTGAAATAATTTCATACCAGCCTGACAGTCTGAATACATCAGTTCTATAGTATTTTTTCTTGTTCTTTAGTTTAATATAATGACCTTTAGTGCAGTTATCTGCATCTATATCTTTGATCTGTCTATTTCTTACTTAGTAACAATACAGATGCAAGGTGGAGTTCAAGGAAGTTGAGAACAATACAGACAAGATTTTTTTTAATCTGAGTCCTTTTTGTGATAAATTGAATATTACGCTGATACCATATCAAGCTAATTAAAAAAACAACTACCCATTGAAAGATCTCAATACTGTCAGCCCTCCCAGATAAACCAGACAGGAAACACGACAAGATGCCATGATTCAATTTCCAGACTGAGAAACTGCATCAATATATCGCTAAGCAATTTGGGGAGGAAACCTGAGGTTGGTGCAGGAAGAGTCAGTACATTTGAAACAACTTGTTCAGACTGAGGAAGCTTGTTTGGATGAGCAGCAAAACGTCTCAAACCAACAGGAAAATAAGTCCAGTTGCCATGACTCAATTTCCAGATGACTAGATGAACTAATTCTACTTTATTGTAAGGCTACATTAATATAATCTTACAAGTCTGAAAATAGAGTGGTTCCTTGGTACTCATTGTTAAATAGTTTGGGGAGGCATGACAAGTACTAAAAATGACGAGTGCCAAACAAACCACATGACTTACCATGTGATCCTTTGTTTCAGCCAGGAAGGACTTCCTGTCTGTCCCTTTTCCTGTGTCAGTGACCTTCCCAACATGGTCAATTTTCTGTCCGCTTTCTGTCACTGACTCCTTCCTTTTGCACTGACCTTCCCAGTATGGCTAACTTCTTGTCTGTTCTCCACATCCACCCCCTTTAACAATCTCAGTGCATTGAGTACCAAACAAACGAGTACCAGGACAACATTTTTATGTCAAGATGTGTTGCGTACCAAATTCGACGAGTTTTGAAGCAGTCGACACCGAGGTATCACTATACAGACTTCTCCCCACCACTGTTAATTCCTTGATCCATTAAAGCAGGTCTTTACTAAGTTTCTTGGTTAAGCACTGGGGGCTCCTGTCTTTCTTGTCTGATCGTTTCCTAAACAGCATGTCTTCCCCAAGGTTATTCACACATTCCATTACAGTACTGATATATTTTATTTCATGCTTCCTTTATTGTAAATTGCATATACGTTGAAGTTGCTTCTTGTACATGTGCAGTAAACTAACAAAGATTCCTTCATAAAAGTTTATAATAGTAAAAAGTGACAATTAGGAAATTCTACAGATACATTTTTTCATGTACTTAAACTTGTACAATGGAAGAAAATCTGTATGGTCTCTTAAGAGTCAATCCTGACTTGATAGTACATAATTAATTCTGCATATATGATACTGATCTACTGGGTAGAATCATAGAAGGATTATCAAGTCATTTAGTCTGACTACCTGCTTGAAGTAGCATATTTATATTGCTTGGTATTACAGAAATGCATATTTAGATGTTATTTTGTAGAAGTTGTGGAAGTACAAAATATTTCTATGTAGAAATGAGGGGGGATATTTAATTTTTTGCCATCTGTAGGATGCTCATGTTGAATAATATTTTCAACATAATGTTTTGGGGCGGCTACAGAAAAAAGATCCTTGAAAACTCCTTTTGAATGAATAGAAGCACTTTTCTATGAAGAAACTTCAATGCTCATTCTTCTGTTATACAGTACAGACCTGTTAGCTAAACCCCTGCTCTTTTGACAGCAAGAACAGTCAAATTAGAATAACTGCAAATAGCCTAAAAGAAAATTGTGATTATCTTTTCCTGAGAATAATTAGTGAATAACTTTTTGGGGGTTGACAATTTCTGCCAAAATTCATACCCAATTTTGCTATGGTAAGAAGATTGACATAAGAATAAAGAGAAAACAGTATAATTTTTAGTGGAAGAGTAAAGTGAAGAGTGAAGAGGTTCAGCCAAATATTTACTTTTATATGCAGTGCGTTGGTTTATAAGTAAAGAAAATATTTGAGAGTAAAGTTCATACATAAAAGTTAAAATGGAAAGAAAACAAAGCTTAGTATCAATATTTTACAATGGCAACTTCAGAAGTTGTGCAATTCAATGAACAGATAACAAAAAAAATCACAAGGCAATATGTCTATTTATGTAGTAGTAAGCCCATACAATGCCATGTGATATTTTCCTGAGTATATATTCATTCAATTGCAGCTTTGTTTTCTTCCCATTTTAACTTTTATGTATGAACTTGACTTGGAAATTGACAGGTTATATTAATTTGATTTCTAGTTTTGTGTTTAGTATTGTACTTAAGGTGAAGCAAAACAAAGCCTGCTATAAAAATAAATCCAAATCTTCTTACTTGAGTGGGAAATAAACATGTTTCATATCCCTCTTAACTGGGAGAAAAATTCGCATCACAGAACAATCCTTAACTTCAGATTACATCAGGATTTGCATAACATACTAGGCCAAAATATGTTGTGGAAATGTGGTTTATTTATAACTGAAAATACGATACAAACTAAGGAAATGGGTTAAATTAGTAAATTATGTTTCAGCTAATCATGAGTGTTGTGTGAGCAAAACAAAATAATGAGACATGGGGCCACAAACAAACATTTTTCTACCAACAATTTCTGAGGGCCACCCATTAGATTCAGAAGAAAGTTCTTGACAATGAATCTTCTGCACATATCAGAATTGGAGTAGTGTGTAGGGTGAATCCCTACTATTCAGGTTCAATGCTTAGAATTGGCTTTATGGTGTTCCACTGAAAAGTTTTCTGTAAAAAATTCTCTAGAGTCAATTTTTGCCTCCAAAATAATGAAGGTAGAGAAAATAAGATCCTTAAATATGTTTCATGTAACATACTTCTTCAGATTCCAAAAGGACTCATAAAGGATCTTTTTGGAATGAGAAGAATTGGTAAAATGAAATAAAGTTGTACTTCCAGTAGGTTTGATTCCCACTTTCTCCATAAAGTAGCATACCTGCTTGTCTGCTAGATATTTGTTTTTCTGTAATATAACATGGCATGACAATTTATATCTTTCTTGAAATGGCAGAATTATGTCACTCAAGCAAGAGAATCAAATTACTTTTTTCTGTTAAGTATTCACCGACTATTTCTATTATCCAGGTCAACGCTATTTAATTATAGTCTTTCGTTATATAATATAGCCAATTGTAGTAATATTTCAGTGCACAGGGCACTTTGCTTCTTATGTAGTTATATAATCTATCCAGTACATTTTTTAAAAAAAAAATCAGATTTGTTTAAACTTAAACAAATATTATGCATTGTAATCTTTGAATTATTATATCAAATGTTGAATGGGCTGGACCCATTAATGTATGAAATGTTATAATCTATTAATATTGTTTGCTCTGTCTATTTTGTTTGCTCTACATAATAATTGTACAATTGCCAACAAGATATGAGCCTATAACAATGTTTTAATTTAACCTCTAAGAATACTAATAAATGTTTGTAATTTCTGTGATGTGGTCTTTCATAGGTAACAAAAATTAAGTGTAACTGAAAATAGTTCTTGCAAGATTCTTCATGGATAAAATAACCTATTCATTATAATAGATTAGATACCACTTGGATAATCTAAGATGATTGAGGTAACTGCCTGTGAAATTATCTGGAATGATCTTGAAAAATCTGAAAAAGTAGGTAGGGTGGGTTCTAGGTGGTATAAGCTCTGCCACCTGTGGCACAACTCACTTCTGCCTGGCTACCTAAACATTTGTAGAGACAGCATACATGGATGTGGAAAGTAATTAGTACTCTTTATGAGAGAGGATTGTGTTGTCAGCTTTGAAATAATTCCCCCCCCCCAAGAAATCATCTCTAAATCTGGCTGCATTAGACAATGTTTTTTCAACTTTCCTTTTTTGGGTGAAGATTCTGGAGAAGATAGTAAGATTTCAATCAGGAAGTCATAATGAAACAGATAATTCTGGATCCCTTTCCATCAAATCCAGGCTTGGTCAAGATTGTCAAATGCTGTTGGTTACTCTCAGGTTGATTATTTTTCTTAGGATTGGATGGTGCAGGCAGGATATCCCTCTTAATCCTGTTAGACATCTTTGATGCTATCAAGCACAGAATCTTTGTAGACTGCCCACAGAAATTGGGAGCAGGAGGCAGTGGGTTTTAGTAGTTCTATCTCTACTTACAATCAGTCATGGAGAAGGAACAATTGAACCCATGATTGCACTAATGAGCATCACAGGGCTAAGCCTTCTGCTCCTTGCTATTTAACATCTGCATATTTCCATCCCAAACTAGGCCATGTAAGTCTTGATCTGGAGTCTGAAAGAAGCTCAGATTAAATCTCGGCAAATAGAGCTGTTCTTTGTCTAAAACATAAAGAGTTGTAATCTTGATCTAGTTATTATTCTAGAATAGATAATAGCACTTTTTCTGAAGTGCAGAGTAGCATTTTCTCTGAAGTAGCTAGTCCACAACTGGATGGTTCTGTTGCACTTAACGACTCCTAAAACAACAGGTGGAGATTATGGCCAGGACAGCTTTCATCCAGTACACCTGGACCGAGTGACTCATCACTTCAGAAAGATTACTGTATGCTCTCAGTGGGGCTTTGATGACAATCCAGAAACAGCAGTTGGTGCAAAATATGGTTGGATTCTTAGTGTACTTTTTTTGCAATGTAAAACAATTGTAATTGTTTTGCAATCCCATTATTAACAATAACTTTTCAAGTGCAATTAATGGTGCTAGTTTTGTCCTATAAAATGATGGCTTGGTTCCAAGTATTTGAGGAACTAGTCTCAAAGTGATTCTGCTCTTTCCATGCACATTTCCAGAAGGGATGCTTGGA